CATTCTATATCTGTGCCTTTGATTTTTTTATACCTAAGTGTAGGACTTTGCACTTATCTCTACTGAAATTCATTTTATTTGTCTCAGCCCACTGTTCCAGCCTATCTAGATCATTTTGAATTCTGACTCTGTCTTCTTCAGAATTAGCAATCCCACCCATCTTTGTGTCAGCAGCAAATTTTCCAAGTTTCTATGTCTTCCTCCAGGTCATTTATAAAAACATTGAACAACACTGGGCCCAAGACCGAGCATTAGGCACACTTTAAATTCATTTGCTGCCATGAACTCAGACATACCTGAAGCCAATTGGGACTGTAACTAGTATTTGCCACATTAGGGGGGTTTTTCCCTATCAAGTCACTGACGACTTATGGCGATCCCATGGGGTTTTCAAAAGAGACATTCAAAGATGGTTTTCCATCACTTGCCTTTGTGTCACAACACTGGTATTCCTTGGTGGTCTCCCTTCCAAATACTGACTGCGGCTGACCCTGCATAACTTCTGAGATCCAACAAGATCAGGCTAGCCTGGGCTATCCACCTTAGTTAGCCAAGCAATAGTTTAATTTTGCGGTAGGGAAATTTCTTTGCAACTTTGAGTTCTAACTAAATTCTCAGGCTTGAATTTCATATTGGAGATTTTTATTAACTTTGTGCCACAACGATTTGCACTCTCAACACTTACTGCTGAGAAGCTATAAAATGCTATTTAGTCCACCACTTAGTCAAAATTACTGCTGCAATTACATAAACTGTATGAGCACTATCTCCACTGCTGACTGAGAAAATCAGTAGCCTGAGTAATCTCCCAGTGGTGTTTTTTGTAGGTTTCCCTCTTTATCGATTCCATTAAAGATGAAAAATTGGTAAACCACTGTAGTGACTGAGTTTGTATTTGTAAGTGCAGCAATTTCTCACTCAGCTAGGGCTCCTCCCCCCACCCCAATCATCTCATCTTAAACTGATGACCTTAAGTATTTTTGAAGGCACATCAACAACAGAAGCTAACTGTCAACTCAACCTTATGTCATCCAAGTTTGTAGAGCTTAAAATTCAGCAACCAGAAACAAGCAATCTGGTAGTTCACATGAAGTTCACAAAATTTCAGCAGCATCACAGGAGTAGAGGGGGAAAAAAACAACAACTTTAATCATTATTTAAGGCCCAGTGGGAGTCCCCTTTGACATGTTCCAGGAGAAAAGTGTGTGTTAATTAAAAAATATGATTGGCACAAAGCTTAACTGTTCAATGTGATATAAATAAAAAGATACTGTTTGCCAAAAGTTGGAAAGAAGAGACATTGAGGCACTAGTTAATCTTTCTCCATCACAACAAAATACCTGGCTTTTCATAAATATATACTATAGCTACTTGACAAGCTGTGTACAGATATTATGACAGCCTTGCAGTGCACGGTGTATATAGATGTTATTATGCCCACACATAATGAAGGTGGGAATTTCTACCCACTAATCATCCTTTTCTCACAACTCGCCTATCGGGTATGGATTTATTATCATTAAAATAACAATCACAGCAAGGACAATAGCTCAGTTGAAAAATATTTCATCCAGATTCTTAGAAACAGAAGATGTCTAATATAAGAAATACAAGGGGTTTTGTGCTAGCCCTGGGGAATTGCTGAGTTTTCAGAGTCTTTGAATCACTGGCTCTAAGGCCTTGATCACAAACAGAATTTAAAACTCTTTTCTGTTTCTAAAGTGGTCTCCCAGGCAGCAGGAGGGGCTGCTGTTTTGAGGAACAAACAACTCCAAAGCCTCCTTTGAGCACAAAGAACTAGTTTAAGAGTTCTTTGCATCCTGGCTGTTGCTCTCAGGTTACTTTCAACTGCAAAATACCTTTTAATAAATCTAACAACATTTCAAACCACGAAAGGTGTTTAAACCCTTCTATTTTGCAGACATGATTGTCCTGCATAATCTACCAGCCACAAACTTGTGACTTGCTGGTTCTACATGGTCACAGGTGAAAACAATTGCATGTTGGAAAGTTTGTGGATCAGGTCCACTGTGCTTCTTTTCAGATACGAATAGGTCTGCCGAAATGTACATTTGTACGCCTCTATAAAAAAGGGAATACCAATACATGCTTCTTACCTTTCCTCAGCTGTATATTAAGCCTCTTCCCTATCCTTTTAGTGTTGTAGCCACTGTTTGAAGTGGATGTGAGAACTTTTTGTGGTGATGGAGACAGGCCCAAGGGTGGTTTTCCTGATGAATTCACACTATGAGGTAGTTGTGAGTAAGAGTCCGTCTGATCTCCTTGATTGCTCATTCGGGGTATTCTTTGCAACGTGTGAAGTCCAGAGTGGTTAACACTCTTATTGTCAATATACTGGGAATCTGGACTGAACCGACTGGAGTAGTACGCATTCTTCTCACTTTGTGATAACTGTTCATACTGTTCTTTCTTCGCTGCTGGAACTACATGGAACCAAATAATGGGTGTACGCATGGCTTGACGGAACATATGCTGTGCTCTAGGTTTTAGAATGAATGGAAAATTAGCAAATTAAGACTGTCAGACTAGAAGACATTACAAGCATAATTACTGATGTTAATTAGGCATCATGAAATGACAGACATAATGTTGAAATTGAACGGTAAACTAAATGGCTGATTTTCTTGGAGTGATCCATTATAAATGTCTTTGCTGCTGAAGTATATTTCTATTAAGTCAATACAATTTAATTTATTTTCTTTGATTAATATATCATAAAAGTATCCTTGGTTATTGACCAAAATGTTTTTCTAAAATATTACATACATTATGACTTCCCACACCACCACCCCAAATCTCTGTAACACAAAATATGGAAAATCAGACCATGTTACACAGCAGCTTACTTTCCATGCAGCTTAACAGCTATGTATTGCTTCAGAATAATAAATATTAAATTGTCTGTTTCTTCTTTCTAATAAGAAGATTTATTTAATATTTTCTGTATTTCAGTGAGTCTGCTTGTATATGCAAAGACATCATCAAACAGAAGTGGCACAGGTATCTTAACTTGTCTACTACTAGTTTGTATGATCATGAAAGTGAAAGTCATTTTCCAACACAATAATAACTTGATAATTAAGAGAGCTGTACCTAAACATTGGTGTAGTGTTATCTATAATGAGCTTCCCCAGCGCTGAGTCCAACAGATAATAACCAACAGATAAAACTGGACACAATCCAGCTAACCTCTGTTCACTTTAAACTGTTCATTTTAAATGAAACAAAACAAAAAGATCTGTTGTTTGGCTTTGTATCAAAGCAAAATGTAGACTGCTTCCAGTTAATGAAGTCCACAGCATGCATCAGACCATTTTGTATCTGTTCTCCCCAGTACACCTTGCATTACAACAGGTAGTTTTTGAAGCTCCTCTGTACTTGTGTAAAAGGAATTGCCAGGATTTTGTAAACAACGCCCTGTATTTTAACCCCCACACATCCTCCAATGCACAAACTATAGTCAAACATACACATTTCTGTTGTGCAGAGATCTCCCCCAATACTGCAGTGTTGAAGAGATCTTGGCATGCACAATGAAGATGCATATGGACAACTGCCCTCCAACACAGTTGTGTTTGGTGAAGCTCCAGAAAAATAGCTGCAGCATATTCAAGGAGTCTCTGTATTGAAATTACTGCTGGAAAGATTAGAAATAGCTTGGTTTAATCTAATTACCTATTGCCACAAAAGATTACAAAAATTAATATCATAAAGTTATTTCTCTGAGAACAACCTGCATTCTGCTTATGAACGCACTGCTGTATGAGCTGCACAATTTTTGTTTTCTTCTTAATACGGATTTTCCTTGAAATAGTCACATGAACTAGCTTATTTCATCTGGGGCAAAATTAATAAAAAGGGCTGACATGTTGAGACTCAATTACTTTCCATGCAAACATTTATAATCTTATTGACTTCTTCAGGACAGTTTCAGCATTTTATGTACAAACATATTTGAAATGCAAAATGTAAGATTTTTTTTAAAAGGCAAAAACACAGTGGCTTCTATAGTGACATGATACTAAATGAAACAACGTTTTATTTCTCTACATATAAACAACCTGAGTCAATTAATATAAGTGTGGCGGAAGGGAAACAGTTTGGTAATAATGAGGAAATCAGACCTAAATAATTAGGGGGAAAGATACAAGCTTACACATAACATAATAGCACTCATTAAGTTGCAACTTTGTAAACTGATTAATTAAAGAAATGCTGTAATGATCTACAAACACTTTCCTGTTCACAAAAAGAACTTACTTAGGCACTTCGTTGTTAACATTTTATTTCTCTAAATTAGTAACATGTGTGATGACTAAAGGTTAAGAAATGCAATAAACAGCAAAGTTATACTTACTGCTCAAATCTTCTATTGCGGAGGTCTCCATCATTAATTCTGACAATACAGTCATTTTCATGAAAGAGGTTTTCTTGCTCTGCTTTTCCACCTTTCTCTAATCGCTTTACTAATAGTCCCAATGTCCTAGAATATAAAGATAATCAAATTAGTGTTAGGAAAAATTTCACAACATAGCAAGGATCTTGCTGGATCAGATCAATGGTTCACCGTTGTCCAGCATTCTGTTTCCCACATAAGCCAAACAGACTACTCAAAGAAGCCTGTAAACAAGGTGTGAAGGCAACTGCCCTCTTCTATTGTTGCCGATCAAAGGCCTGATATATAGAGCCATAATACCTCTGAACATGAAGGTTCCCCTTACCTATCGTGTCTATCAGTTCTTGATACTACCTATCCATCTAATTTGAGTTCTGGATAACAAATTGTGTCATAATTCTGAAGTCCTCCCATTGCCCCTGAAAACAAGTATCTCCAGGCCAGAATATCAAAATTGTAATTTTGTAAAACATATTACTTCAATGGTAGTTATTCTGAACTCTGAGCACCTTATCAGCACCAGAAAATTCTCTTGTTCAAGCATAGCAGTGCCCTACTATATTTATACTATTTACTGCTACTTATAATTTTTGGCCCAGCATGATAACATAACACAGTGCCTTCTAATACCTATATCTGTTAGTGCAATGTACTTGGATGCCTCTGTCATTGAACCAGTCTAAGATTAAGCTGGACAGTTCTGACTGACAAAGCGTAACTTCTTGACTCCAGCAAATCAGACCCAAGATATTTTATTGTTTAAAAAAACTAAATTACCTTTGCTCCACCAAAGCTTATTATTTCCCCAGGCTATAGACCACATTTACTAAGATATTTAACTTCAACAGATCTTTAGGAGTTCTGTCTTCACCTGTGGTCCCAAAGAAGGACTTTACAGACATTCTTCCCTGTGACAGTATTATTAAATCACCATCTTCTAGGACATTTAAGATGGGTCCCACCATATGGTATCAATACTATCTTGTATCTTTTATATTGTCTTTTCAAAGAGAAGGAAAAGGAGAAAAGTAACAAAAAAGACAAACTGCAGGGTGCCGTGTCGATGGGGGAAAATCTTGACAGTGACAAGCTGAAGACTTCAGAGCTAAGACAAATTTACCCATCAGTTTCTTTTATGGGTCAAACTGTATTAGAAACGTCATATCCCACTGGGAGTGGGAGATCTCTCACCACCAAGGAGCATGGCCCAGCAGCATACTGGGAGTGGGAGATCTCTCACCACCAAGCATGGCCCACCAGCACTCCAGCAGCCAGCCAAAGGGAAAAAAATTAAAAAGTGCCATTGGCAATTATGTCATGCTTCTTTAGGAATCAACAGAAACTCTATGGACTCACATCATGTTTAGGAGAAAGCCCAGAATTACCATAGAGTTCACAGCAATTCCTCGACGGGTGTGACATCACTTCCAGGATTTACCAAAAGTGACATCATGCCATCGCTGACGTCTGCCCCCATGCCCCCTCCAGTCACCCTCTAGTTGCCCTAGATGAGACACAAGGACCCAAGACTGAATCTTCCCACAAGCTTTTTGCTGTTGTTATTGCAGTATTGTGGACCTTGAATTTCACTGTGGCCACAGTGCTGGATCAAGGGAAATTTTTCTCAATATATTATTTTCCATCCCAAACTGCTATTTGCCCCTCAGTTCAAAACATGCATTATATAGTTAAATGTCTGAATAGCAGTTCTGGGATGGTGGTCTGCAACAGGAAAAGAGTGCAGGGAAGAAGGGTTCCCTGTTCCTCCAATGCCATAGGTAGAATTGGAATTCCGCATATCCTGACACCAGCAGTGGCTTTGAACTGAAAAGATACCCATATGTTTCTCCTATATCTCATTTAATTAGGCCTAACCTTAACCTTTATTGTCTATTTGCAGGGTGCCTATTTAATTAGGCCTAACCTTAACCTTTATTATCTATTTGCAGGGTGCCTAAACCTAGTTTAGTGTAGTGGTTAAGACCAGCTTTGATTCCCCACTCCTCCACATGCAGTCAGCTGGGTGACCTTGTGTCAGTCACAGTTCTCTCAGAGCTGTTCTCTCAAG